GGGAGTTTTTTCCGGGGTTCCCCCCCGGTTTTTTAAAAAAGGGGGGGAAAACCCCCCCCCCCAAAAATGGGGGGCCCCCCAGGGGAAAGGTTCCCCCCCCGGATTTTTTCCCCCAAAAGTCCCCCCCCCCCCCCCCCCCCCCCCCCCGTGTTTTCGTGAGACGTCTCTGGCTCGCTCGACGGCGATAATTTCCTGCCGTCGGTGCTTCCCCGCCAAGGTGTCCCGCATCAAAGGAATCCCTGACCGAAGCGAAGGGGCGACGTGATGCTAGGCGCCCTCATGCCTGCACCTCTGTCAGCATTTCAACAGAATATAATCGAAAATTAAAGAAAGGCGTACCTGTTCGAGATATAACCAGAGGTGAGGGGGATGGGTTGCATTCACATTCCCCTGCCACAACCCACCTCCCAACCCCGGCATCTCCGCCACTATTATTATTATTTTTTTTTTTTCGGCAGGACGGCTCCGGCTCGATCGACTTCGAGGAGTTTCTCAACATGATGACGGCCAAGATGAGCGATAAGGACACGCGGGAAGACATCAACAAGGTGTTCAACCTCTTCGACGACGACCAGACGGGACACATCACCCTCAGGAATCTCAAGCGCGTGGCGAAGGAGCTGGGAGAGACGATGTCAGGTGAGTTGAGAGGATGGCCGTCGGATGATGTTTTCAGCGCCGTGAGCCGGCGGGTGTGGGAGGTGGGGTGCACTCATAGCCGTGCATGTCGTAGCCGTTAGACCATTGGCCTCGCATCTCTACAAAGCCTTTGGGGGAGGGGGAGGCGTACCGTTGTTTTGCGTGCGCTGGCGGTTAGACCATTGACCACGCGTCCTCGAGACGACGGAGCCTTGTACCCCTGCGGCGAAGGGGCGTTTTGAGAGAGATATCGAGTGCCTCGGGCGTCACGCCACTGTCGGCCTTAGTCCATGCCGGGCGTTTGCTGATACGGCACCTGCGTTTCACGAGGTTATCAAGGAAACAGAGAGAACGAGAGTACTCTGCGATGTTCGAAGATATTGTGAGCCGTGTGACCAAGATTGTGAGCGTTGCACGCTACCTAAATAGGGGTTACCGCCAAATCGGTTCTCAGGCGTACATGCGGCCGTACACGATGGTGACCTCCCACCCCTCCCTGAACCTTCCTCCCCCCCCCCCCCTGCCCCCGCAGACGCGGAGTTGCTGGAGATGATCGAACGAGCAGACACGGACCAGGACGGAGAGATCAGCGCAGAAGAGTTCTACTCCATCATGACCAAGAAAACGTTCACATAATTGTTTCTGTTACGCATCGTGTCTCGTTTACTTGCTATTTCACCATTGTCGAATCTGCTTTTCAGTGCCATCATTGTATACAGAGCGCGGATATGTGGCATAGGGTTATTCCTCTGCAATACAGCGTTTCGTGCAGAATAATAGCTTGTTCGCAACGACGAAATTTGCCGTTGCTGTGTATGCGTTCGCTGAAAACTACGTTAAAAACGACGCTAGGTAGGAGCTTGAGGAGAAAGTCTTATCATTGGCAGCCATGGAGGAGAGAAGAGAGGTTAAGCCGGCTCGCTGTACGCCCATGCCACTTGTCTTGTATTTCAGGCGCCGAAAAGCAGCGAGAGGCCCGCTCAAGGGCCGCCTCGAACTTGGGCAATTGCTTCCTTGGTTTTCGATTGGGGACGGCCGGGTCTTTTTTGCAGTTAAAACGCCATATCGATTCCACCCGTGTACATAGGCTGTAGTTGTTGGCCTCGGGGTTGTCCACACGCGTCTTGACCGCCGAGTATAAACGAATTAGATCGCCGTCGACAGGGTGCAACCAATTTTTTGCTGGGATCATTTTTTTGGGAACGGCCGCCGGTGGACGCCGCTTCTTCTGTCGATTTGTCGCGTGTCGCCAGGCTTGAAGTATTCGCCACCCCTACCTTCTAATTGCGGGGGGGGGGGCAACTCTCGTGCCCCGACAATAGATGGAGGAGTGTTCGGCGGACAGCAGTATTGTGTGGTGGCGGTATCCTTGCCCGTACTCTGCATGGGTGTGTCCAGCGAGCGTTCAACCGTGTGCTTTTCCCACCTGCTTTTTTTGTGTGGACAGAGGAGAAAGAGAGTATTTCTGCTCGATGGGCTTTGCCACTGCTTTTGCCAATCGGAACGACCACGTGCTTGTGTCCTGTTTGGAATGGTGGGCCGTCCCGGTGTTCTGCACCAAACGCTCTTGGCACGCATACTAGTCATCGACCGTTACGTTGCCCAATCGGAATGACGGGGCGCCCCGCAACGGTGCGGTTACATTTCCCGCATATGCCGTACTGTCACGGGGATTTTGAACCCTACTGCCGTGTACCAGAAGAGGCTGGTCATCCTCTCCGATGGCGCACTCAAGCGCCAGGCAAGCAACAGAGGAGATTTTTGCGGAAGAGAGAGATTCAGTGTAGAGGTCAGGCCGTTAACTGAATCCGAAGACGATAGGCACAATGCGACCAACAAAGGGGGCAGCGTTGGTGCCCGGTGCTCGAGTTCTCGAGTATTTGGACTCCGGATGCACCAAAAAAAAAAATGGGGGCTGGACCAGCATCATCCCGAGCTTCATGGACGGGCTGAACTTAGACAGTCTCAGCACACCACGGCATGCACACATATCTCGAACAACCGGAAACAACCAAGAAGGCACGCAGCGGCACGCATGCCACTGACAGTCATATGCGCGGTGCAGAGTGAAGCCGATCTTCCCCCCGAACCGTTTCTGCCGGACAACATCAGGTGGTGTGGCAGCGGCACGACTCACGAGTTGTTGCAGGAACGGGGCTTCCCACTCATCACTGAATGCGCTAAATCGCACTCAGCGAGCCAACACGGAATGAGAATCAACCGCTATCCAAGCCAAGGGCAGCGAGAAAAAGAACATGTGGCGTGCAGTTTCAGATTGGTCAACAAATCTGAGCGTGATCCAAACGCGGCTGGCTGCACCGTGCGGCAGAAGACTTGAGAGCCTAACATCTTCTCGGCAAACGCTGGCTCCCCCCCCCCCCCCCCCTAAAATGCAAGCGCCTCTCCTCTGGTCTCCAGGCGGTTACTTGCTGCCTGCTGGTCGCGATTGATACTCGTGATGTTTCCTTACGTTCTACCGCCGCTTGCTGTACTACGTGCATGATCATGTGGACGGTAGCGTCCCAAAACAAAACTCAGGAGAAGCTACGGGGGGGGGGGGGCGAAATGCGGAAAAATTTTAGGGCCTGATCCAATAGGCTGGCATCTCAGCACAAACAACTTACGTAGCGTGAGAAAAAACATAAGGGTAAGGGTAGCACAGCAAGTTCGATATGGCGACACAATACCCGAAAAGTAGCATAAAGCGAATATTTCCACGTCGAGGTCGGTCTGACGGGCGGGTTAAAAACTGACACCAGCGATGTGACATGTCCAAATTGGTCGCGACATTTTCATGAAAAAAAAATCGAGCAACTGTCTTACTTAGTGGCTCCGGCAAACTCATAATAGAGCGAAACCCCGCGCTCAAAAATCGAAAAATCAGAGGGCAAACGAGCGCCAGGTAGCAACAGAACACATACGTACCTCAACCAGATCAATTGGACACCAGGCACATGCGAAGCAACACCAACCAACAACCAACAAAACACGGTACAAATGACGAGCCAATAAAGGTAGCATGACCTAGCAACGTAGTTGACCCTTTCGAGCGTAAACCTTCTCGACAACAAACTCAAAAACAACACGGAACAAGCTGGTCAGCCCCTAGAAAGTTGCACAAAAATCGACATGGTATAGAAAAAAAATCGGAGACTTCCCTCTCGTTCTCTCTCTCCCCCTTCCTGTCTCAGGGTCTTGTGGCTGCTCGAGGTCCGTGCGGTACAGTATATGGGAGGTGGCCTAGGCTCCCGCTACCGGCCCCGGGGCTTTTGGTTGATGAGGACGTAGGCGAACACGATAAGTGCCGCCACCTTCCAGCCCCCGAAAAGCACCTGAAAACAGACAGTGGGACAGAGGGGTATGTACGTTGAGCGCGCCGTCTACTCTGAGAGATCCAAAGATGGAATACGCGCGAGCAACCAAAATCGTGGCAACTATTTAGGCTGCCGAACCGAGAGATTTTTCCCCGCGCCAAGAAGCAAGACTAGGCGTGCGCATACAAAGCGGTAAGACCGCCGCACACCGCCTATTTTAGCACGGCTTTTCCGACCCTCTTTTTTTCCCCGACCATTCCGACGACGGTGATTTTAGAAAGGTGTCATGTTGAGCTTTCCTTAGACGCGTCGGTCGGCCTTCAAAACCTCTTGGTTATGGATGGAGCAATCGAGCTTTGAAAGTCTGTCTAGGGTGAGGGTGATGGCCGGCTAGTTTGAGGGTTCCTAAGTTCTGGTGTTGCGACAGAAAATTGACCGAGGAGACATGGGCAACTTCGTGGCCCCCCGTACCTCTCTTTTCCTACGGTGTAATAGGCAGGTGGGGGGTATGATTATTTGCTTGCTGCAAGTTCCCGAGGATTGGCGGGCATTGTACATAAGATCGGCGTGGGCGTGCAAGACCGCGAGGCACTGCAGTGGAAAAAAATCGCCGCGTGATTCATGCTGTTAGCACTAATGGACCAGGGCAGACGGGGATCGGGGATCGGGGGGCTTTCCCTGCCGAGCTTCAGCAAATGCTACGAGACACAGGTCACAGCAACCCTTCCGACCTTGCACGCAGCGGCGGTCGAGGTGACGTACGAATAGAGGCTGGCACCCCGCGTGGGTTTTGTCGCTGTACAAATCATTGCTCCAACAAGCACCACCAAAAACAACCACCAATTACAACATTAAGGGCCGGTATGGCGCGCGTCTGCTTCGGGGCATATGGCTACAGACTGATGGAGCTAGCAGCAGCAGCAATATCAGGAGAAGATTCTCTCAGGAGAAGATTCTCCAGTACTCACCACCAACGCAGCAATCATGAGATAGACGAAGGGGACCTGTTGCTCCTGTACGCCCAGTGCGCCGGGGATGGTCACGGTTCGCCCCTGAACTCCTATCATCTCCGCCAGTTTGTCCAGGGGTCCCGTCGACGCTCCTGCTCCTCTTCCCCCAGCTGCTGGTCCCCTTGTGTGGGTGGAGAATGAGCGTTGAATCGTGCGCACAGCAGTGGGGAACAAAATAGTCGGCTGTGCGCGCGAGAATTGACCAACACAGTGTCGGTTTTGGTCGGGGTTTACAAACCACTGTTTAATTTAAAGCAACGCTCATGGTAGCGGCGGGCGATGATAATGTTTTCTTGGGTAGAGAGTAGGTGCTCGCTGTGGCTCGCTTGGGCAAGGAGGTACTTCAAGGCATTCCCACATCGGACTACGACATCTCGAGACAGTGAGGAGGTGGCATGCTTTGGGCTCAAAGGCACTCTACGGAAGGAATTCCGCGCATGGTTAATGCTTTGACTCAGGTCATTTGTGGCTGGCTGGTCTCGAAGAGTATGAACGCAACGCAAGACTCTGATGTTTGCGTAGGGGCAATACACTCATAAGCCTTGTCTGGCAAGATCGACACCTCGAAATTCTCTTCAGCCCAACTCGCTCTCGAACCACAGCACCAGATGTTCTACATACCAGCTAGCGGCGTTTCCCAAAGGCATCACTGCAAATGATGGGTTCACAATGTAGACGGTACACGGTATGACATCGATTACCTTGCACCCCCGCCGGTTGCTTCTGCAGTAGATGGCGGGTCAAGGAGGGACGCAACGTGGCCGTACCCTGCCCTTCCTTGTCCCCCGCCTCCTCCGCCTCCCCCTCCTCCTCGCCGCTGCGGTCCGGCGACTCGAGGGTCATCGTCGCTGACGATTTCCCCATTTATGATTCTCACTTTGGACACCCGTGCGAGCGTGTGGGTATGTGGTGATAGTCGTCGGTGCATCGAGGGAGGGCAAGATGAGGAAGAGAAAACGAGCGCAGATCTTCGGGGTGTTGTGTACAGATGGGCGGTCGATTGGATATTTTGGCTGCCAACGTAGGAACAATGATGCTGCTCCTCAGTCACCGTGATCGTCGGGCAGCAACATGCATTGCGTCCTGATGGCACCCAAACATAGTAGTACAGGAAAAGTAGGGCGCTTCTTCGGCATGAATCGAGAGATATCAGAGAGAAACCGGGAAGAGAGTAGCGCGCATAGTAGCGCGAGAGGCAGACAGGCAGACAGGGCAGACAGATCGATGACTGCTGTACGCATAGGTAGCAACACGCGGTTGAAGACAAAGAATGCATTAGCAATACAGAGAGCGAGGTGCACAAAGAGGCGCAGAGAAAGAGAGAAAGAGAGAGAGACAGTACTAGAGAGGCGGTACTAATGATAGAGCTGACGGTTGCAAGCGGGACGCGCACGGGCCGGACGAGCACGCACCTGCCAACCTGACAACGAACCAGTACAACATCGTACCAGAGGTAGCATACTTTTTGGACACAAAAGCTCACGCCACGCCATCACACCATGCCCAGAGAGACACGTGTCACATTCTTGTTTCCTGGTGCAAATGTAGTATAATTTCTGTTTCGTGGGACACATGCCATTGATATGGTTTTCCACGTGGCGGTACCGATGTTGCAACGAACACAGAGGTCCGTCCTGCGGCGGTGCTGAGTGTCACAATTAGACTATAATACGTACGCGAGAGCCGGTGAACTGAAACTTCGGGGATCGCCTTCCTTTGTCGTGCCCTCGTACACAATACGTCAAAATCTTGCAACCAAAGAGCACACCCTCACCCATGACCGACGAGCGAAGAAGCACAAGCAACGCACAGAGCGCAGAGCACAGAGCGGCGAGTGGTGTCCCTGTAGCCGTAGCGCGCCCAACAGCAAATGCCGAGCTCTACGAACCCGAACCCTGCCGCAGATGGAGTTGCATGCGGGGATGCGGGATGCGGGGATTTGGTTCAGGCGGCGGAATTGCCAATGGTTTGGCGAAACGTCACGGGACTGTCGACCGTCTATCTCGCTCCTCGCTCCTTACTCCTCTCTCCTATCTCCTATCTCCTCTCACTCCAAAGTCCACACCAGCGTTCACTCCTTCACTGCTCTCATATCGCCCACCCTTGTCGATGATCGTCAGCGGCGCGTGCAACGCCCCGTGCGATAGTAGAGGTGGGGTGGTGAGACGAAAAAAGCGTTGACTACAGCATGGGAGCCGGCGCGAGCAATGGCAATGTCAGCTGGCACGATGTGCGGGACATGTCACCTCCTGAGCTCGCCGACTTTGTGAGAAACGAATCCAACTCTGCCTAGAAATATGTGGTCATGTCTCATGGCCGAGTTCAGCTTCATCTGAATTGATCGTGTGAAGTATCATAAGCGTCCCCTCAAATGCAATATGGAGTAGTGTACAAAGACACTTCTTATGTAGTCTATAGCCCCAAGCTCGCACAGTTCGGAATAAGTCGGAGGTTGCTGCGCACGTATGCATACCGCGTACAGCCGACGTCGAGCCATGGCCTCGTGTGCTGTGGGGGAAACATGCTAAGGTACCCTGCACCCTCAAGATATTATCGCTGCTGTCACATGCTACCGAGCGATTAGTCATCTGCCATCCAAGCACACGCTGTGTTGAATCCCTTATCTGCAGATGGCACAAACGTGCGATTCGAGCTTCACGAAACACTACCAAGCCATCATCGACAACGCCGTGGGGGGTGGTATCGTGTGTTCCTTGGGAAAACAATCTCTGCGGACGTTCTTGACGGACATAAACATCACGCTCAAGCCGCAGCAGGACTTCATAATTGAAGGTCTCGACAAGCTGAACAAAACCACGGAAGTCGCTGTGGCCGCGCTGGAGGAAAGTGGGTCCCCCTATAAGCACACTGTCGTTCGGAACTTGAGGACACACAACGCAGCGTACGTTACCTTCACCAAGGTGCGGTTTGCGAACAAATATTACTCTGGTCGATTCACTTCCAAACGTGAGTCATTGTCAGTTCTGCTGCAACACTGGAGTGTGCGCGCTTGTGGCGTACCTCCTGCAGCAGTCAGATACAGATACACACGGAGTTTACTGAAACCTCGTCAAATGATCCTGGTACTTGCAACTTGTGGAGGGAAGGTGTTCGGGAGCGACAAGCATAGTCGCTTATTTTGGGCAACGGTCAAACTGTAGAGCAAAAATACATCGAGCCCTCGCTTTGGACTTTTGCGCGGACGAGTGTCGTACACGACACTGGTGTAGCAAGTGAAAGTTGACCGTAGGGGTCAGCGGTTGAGCACATTCCTTCACCTCCCGACAACTATCAGCCCCTGGTGTCTGATGTGAATGGTTTGTTTCTCTGGACAATGGGCTTTCAGGAGGGAGACACATTCCGTGGCGCAACCAAATTCGCCAAGGGCCTTCGAAGAACCATCGGTTCCGCATGGGATCCACCAAATGTGCCGGTGAACATCCGTTTGCGAGGCAGCGGCAGTTTGGGAGTCACCGGTGGGCCGCTCCTGCAAGAGGTACACTACAAGGCCCAACCGGCGCATCTCCCCACCACCCATGTCATAGGCGTGCATATTCAATGGGAACGTTTATCCTGACATATATCTGTCGTTTGCTGTACCTTTGTGAGAATTTCACCATGTCCCGGCAACAACTTTTCGGAAAATGTACTCAACCTATCGCTATGTCGAAGTCCGCAGGTCTCCATTGCGTGATCACTACCTGATTCTGGTTGGTCTCCATTTGATGTTCAAACAGGTGGCGCAATCGCTGAATATGGTGTGGCTCATTTCCGCCGGAAGCCTTGAGGACCCTTTCTGTCTTATGGAGGTGTGCGCGGCAGTGCGGCAGGGAACTCCGGTGCTGCCTGTTCGTCTCGCGGGGGCTGGAATGCGGCCCCTTAACATACCGATCTGGACCTACTCGATCCAGGTAAAGCCTTCGAGATCTGGGGCTACTACATCGAGTACCCTTACGGCTTCTTCTACCGACGACACTGCTGTCGTTGGTGACGCCAATACCAAGAATGGCCCGGGAAAATTGGAGAAAAGCAGCGATCTCAAGGGCGGCGGAGGAGGCAGCGGCGGCGGCGAGCACCAACTGGCAGCAACAGGAGTCGACGCGGGCAACACGGCAACCGAATTCAGAGAGAGAGGGCGGCGTTTGCGTCGTCGCGCAGTCGACGGGTTCTACGCGCAGCTCGCTCAGCGACTGCCTAAGCAAGTCCAGGCCGAGCTTCACCGAAATCGTTTCCTGGTGAAGGACGTCATCGCGGCCGTCCGCTCGTGTTTCGAAGGCACAGGAGAGAGCGAAACCGGCGACACAGGGCAAGCAGGCGCCGGTGCTACCGGCACCCGATCCGACAAAGCGGCGTCCGCGACGGTTTCCAAGGCGAGGGCGAAGCCACCAGTGTTTGACATATCGGATCAACCTGCTGAACACGACATGCTTCTCACTGCGCTTGTAGGGGTCAACCGCCGGAATACGGGAAAGGCAAACGTCGAAGACGTTGCAAATCGTGACAAAGGGAGAGAATCTGGGTCGTCTTCGTGGAATTGGGAGCAGGTACCACGGAGTGCTCCGCTTGCCGGGCGCGCGCGCCTTACGGACGCCGTGCCCTGGCGGTCGGACGAGGAAGTTTCGGAGATGATCAAGATGGAAGAAGCGGAAGCAGACGATCTCGCGGGTGAGTACCGTAATGTCACCTATCTGCCTCAGAAAGAGGATGGAAGACCGGGTTGAAACAACCTACTGGTATAATCGTAAACGCTAACGAAAGAGAGACAGACATAGATAGTACCGTCGTTGCTAAAAGTGGTACCTGCACATTTTCCAAGTGAACGTTGTTCCACACACTTTAAGGGATTCCCCCCCGAAGCTCGGTGTCTATAGAATCTGGTCGCTGGCATTCAGTGGCAATGTGGGGCGCTGTTACTCTATATCTTCTCGCACGCCTCTTGAAAGCTACTGAACTTGTGATCACACGTCAAGCGTCGGCACGTGGGGAAAGGCGGACTCGTTCCGGTGGAGCCAAAGCGACTGCGGGCATGTATACCGTGGTTAGAGGATTGGACCGTGAATTCACTCGTCGTTGTTTTCTTGGGGCTTGTGTAAACAGACCAAACGCTGCACGATCCTCGCTTGTTGATCAACGGTTGTCTTCACTTGTATCTGCCCGATCGATATTTCTCCTTCCTCAGGACTGTTGGTGAATGACATGCGGACCCATCCGAGCTCGGAGCAGCACCAGTGGGAGGGCTGCAAAGGGTTGGCAGACCTGGCTGCTAGGGATAGTGACGGTCTAAGCGCTGTGCGACGGCAGGGAGGGATTCAGGTGCTGCTATTGTCTGTTGGGCCAGCCCTTGGGGCTCTTGATGAACCTGTAATACGTTTTATCGGTACGAGGGCAAACAAAAGAAACCGACTGTCTCTCAGGGTCACGATTCAACACGTGATTGTACCGGCACCCTCTGGTTGCTATACTTTCCATAAGTTTGCTGAAAGAAAAAGGGTGCCGCATATGGTAGTAGTATGGGGGCACAAGAGACGACACAATCAAGGCTGACATGTCGTTGATTCTGTCGTTCTCCTTTTCTCGTGCCATTTTTCGTGCTCGACACACGCCACTCCTCCGTGTCAAACGTTCCCTGTTCCTTGGGTACAACTACGCGCTCGGTCTGTTTTCACCTATATTCCGTCAAGCTGTCAGGCTCCACGGCGCGGTTGACGTTTGGCGCGCCCCTGCGCAGATGCACACGAAATGTACTACGACAACGTGCAAAGCATGTGCTGCCACACACGAGGTCCACAACATCTAAAATCATGAAAACATACAATTCACGTGCAGGCCATCCTTGCCGCTCTCGCGGCATGCCCCAAAGATGCAGACGTACAGAGATGGGGATGCCAAGCGCTGGTCCCCCTGTTCAGCGACCCCATCGTGGCGACACCCTTCCGCCAGGCAGGAATCGCCGCTGTGATCCGAGCGCTCGCCGTGTTGTCCTGCTGTGAGGCGGCTCTGAAGAGTATGGGGGCTGTTGGCGGTGCAGGTGGGGGGAGCGCTGCCCGCGGCGGAAGGGCGAAGGCGACGGCGGCTCGCACGAGGTGGACTCGAGCCGTCAAAAAGGTCGACCTGTTTGCAGATCGGTTTTGGTTGGTGCAGCTCGGGGCTCCGTGGTGCGAGTGTAGACGGAGCCGCTGTCGGAGAGCTTGACACACCACTCCAACCGTGTCTCCCCTACCTATTCAGACTTCTTAGTTTGTAGGGTGGGTCCTTCTGGGGTCTTGTTGATCGCACGCAATGTAGTACACTGGACGCAATCTTTTACATTGACGCACGAATGTCGCGCGCGTATGGAACCTGGCGAAGAGAGCGCTGGTTTCGAATATCATAAGAAGGAGGATTCTTCTGAGTATCGAACACTCGTTGTTTCGGGTCCCCACGTGCTGTACGCCAGAACCGTGTGGTATTTTCCTTCCACCCACGATACCTATCAGCATGACCCCCCATCGCCAGTCCGCAGGCCCAAATCAAAGAGTAAGCACGGTTTCGTTTCCCCTGCTTGTGCTCTGGAAATTGTCCCTGAAGCTGGAAATTTACCGCGTGAGGGAACAGAGACGTGCCAGCCTGGAGAAAAGCGAGGCCGCCGTAAGAGCGATCCAGAGGGAGGAAGAAGAACTGGTGAGGCACGTACATAAAGCGAGACCGCAGAGAGGCGACGTAGCGTTGTCGTGAGAAGCGCGTTTGGATTGTCCATGCCTCCGTTTCTCACATGCCGTAGGCGAGGATACACGTCTGGGTTGTCATGTTTTATGTGTGTTCATCCGTAAGCACGAGGCTTGCCTCTGGAGTACTCCTGTTCGATGTTGGTAAGGCTCTGACCCCAGCTTCGTGGTCGTGTTTGTGATACTGTCTCAGGCTAAAAAGATAGAGGCGAGACGAAAGAGCATCGAGCTTGAGCTTCAGAAAGAAATCGAAGCTGAGGATGAAGCAGCTGTGGCTGACGCTAGCGATGCAGCTGAAACTATCGATGCGGGTGAGGCTCGAGACAATACCAACAGCGATGAAGGTCCATCATTGGAAAGCGTCGATGCAGCAACCACAGCCGCAGCCGCAGGAGCGCGGGGCAGCATTGACGGAAAGAACAAGGAAGAAGGCCGTACGGCGGCGGAGCAAACTACGCCGGAAGGGCAGGAGGAATCTGAGATTGAGAACAACGGAGACACTGAAGAGAACAACGGAGGCACTGAAGAGAAAAACAAAGATGACAGCAGCATATGTGATGACGCGCTGGCCGAGGAGCAGCGGCGCCTGGAGGAGCAGGACAGGCTGGAGCACGAGGCCGAAATAGCGAGGTTGAAAAAGTGAGGGGTAGAGCGCGCGCGGTTTTAATAATCGAGTGAGAAGACACCCTCCCGACCCTCGATGCACGATGGTTCCGAGTGGAGAGAAGCACATCTACAACAGTATCAATTAGTTTTGTTAGAAGGTGTCGAGGAAAACGTTTCGCGGTTATCTTGCTGTGACGAGGTGGATGGTTCTCATAGCTAGACCGTGCGGCGGCGGCGGCGGTGGTTCGAGCACAACACTCTCGGCTTTGCGTTTTCTGAGACCCTGTGCAAATTATAGTGGCTCTGAACGGTTTTCGAAGGACGAAGGGGCATGCTGTTCGTCGTGACCGTCTAGCCTCCCACGGAAACCTCCTCGACAGGATACAAGATGCAAACAAGCTCGACCAATGGGCGATGACGGATGCCGACATCGCAATATACGACAAAGCTTTCTTTAAGCAGGACAAGGACAAGGACGGCTTCATCTCCCCACACGGTGATGGTCGTGTAGAGTACCAACCTAATTGTCGTTCAAAAGAGTGCTAGTCGTCCTCAAGGCAAAAATTCCTGTCGAACGTGGTGGAGTGTCTTGAGTTCCAGCCCGGTCATGTAGTTGCTTAATCAAGGAGACCAAATTTTGGTTGTAGGGGTGGTCTGATTCTCCCGCCGAAAAACAAGCTTGTAGTCGACGACGTGTGTTCTCGTACGAGAACCCTGTCTCTCAGATCTTAGGGGTACTCTCCTCACATGCAGAACGATCTCGGTTGCGCTTTTGGGCTGATGCGGTCTTTCTTTGTTGTGTTCATGTTGAGAAAACGACACTCACCGCTACCCAGCACTGCCGCTTAGTGCCGGCCCATCCGGTCAGAATACCATGGTCTTAAACGTACAAACAACACTTTTTTGTTTTACCGACTTCTTGCGGCACCGTTCTACCTTGTCCATGGCCGTGTTGCCCGACGCTGTGGTTCAGAGGCGAAATCGATGTTTAAAAAGGCTCGCACGTCCGAGGACGCTCGGCGACATATTTGGTGAGCGATTTGTTATCCCTTGCATTTGAGTCTATCCCGTGTGGTTGTGAATGGGATGGCAAACATTGGGCAGAGGGGTCATTTCTCCATGTTCCGTTTGATGAGCTCACGCGGGTCCAGCGCCGCTGTTCTTGTTTCCGCTAGGATCGTTTTGCTTCCAGTCGATGAAAGGCGGCGCCACCTGATGAATTTTTTTGAGAAACTCGAGTGACACCCTCCAGTTGGTCTACGCCTTCGGCTCCATACTAAGCTCCGTGATCCCCGGTGGTTTCGAGGAGTGCTTACGCTCTTTTCTGCGGCAGTTGTGGGCCTACGTGGTGGATCGACGAAGAACTCGAAGCTAAGGTCCACCGGCCAGACGGCCCCACCCACCCAGCCACCCACCCATCAACCGCTGTGCCCCGTCTAACCCCAAAACGAGCACTTCAACCTCGCTTTCACCGACCTCCATTCCGTTTGAAACGACAATAACAAAGGGAGATGTGCGACCCGTACCGAAGAGGAAAACTGACCCAGCATGGCTGGAGGGTCGCGTACCACCTCGCCCGGTCCATGAAAAGCCGAAAGCTGGAGCTGCCAGAGGCTCTGCCTCTCTGCCTCTACCCCCCAGGCTTCGTTCCCGGCGCTTCCACACCGGCGGAGAAAGGAAATGACGCCGTAGATGCTCCCGAGGGCGGGAACCGCAGTCAAGCCAACAGAGAGGCAAATCGGAAGGGCGACAGGGGTTCTGTGGGCAACGGCGGTCCGGCAGGGGCGAATGAGGACCGTGGGGCTAGTGTTGGGGGCGGGGAAGGCGAAGCTGGAGGAGCCAAAGGAAACGTCAGGGGGAAGACGCAGGAGAAAAATAACGGAAAGGAGGGCGGCGGGATGTTCTCGAGAAAGAAACCAGCTTCGGCAAACTCAAGCACGAAGGGGAAGGAAGGCGGGAAGGAGATGGAGGCGATGGAGTTGCAAGAAAAAGTCAAAACGGAATCGGTTGGAGAGAAGGAAACGGCCGAGGTGGTGCTTGGTCCTTCTGAAGACATGGACAACGACAAGAACAAGAGGAAGACGAAGAAGAAGAAGACGAAGGCGACGAAGGAGAAAAAGGAGGTGGACACCAATGGTTCAGACAAGTATCACATGAGCGATGCGCAGAAAACCGGGTACACGAACGTATTCGACAAGCTCACGAAGGGAAAACCAGAGAAGAAAATCGGCGGTAAACAGGTGCGATGTAGCCTACCGTCAACACCCTGCAATGGATATACTTCGTATGGGAGAACGTACAGAGAGAACACTTGTGTCATTGTCTTTTACAGCGTGTTCGTCAGACTGCAAAGCGTTCAAAACGTAAACTGTTGATGAAACGTTATGACAGCTGTCTACTCTGCAAGATGTGCAGTGCCAATTGATATTCTCGATCCAATGGTCGACAACCACCTACCGATTGGCGGACCGAGACTAGGAAGATTGTGTTCTGCGTGAAACCTTTGGAGGAGGGCTATTGTATTCGCAGGTGTTTATGCACACGACATCGTCAATGCGTAGAAAGCTCCTCGGCGTTGGATCCTTATCTAGGAGCACGAACAATTCGCGGTCTCGAAAGGGATGCGTGGTCGAATGTTCTAACCGAGTAAGGGCAGCCAACAAAAGACATTGCCTGCATCTTCTCGTGGCCACAATACCAACAAATCCCGTGGACGAGGCGGCAGGCCGCAACGATGCTGGCAAAGTCCGGGCTGAGCAAGACGGATCTCGGCCACCTTTGGGCCATGGCCGACGCCGATCGGGACGGCAAGCTCTCCCGACACGAGTTTGCCGTGGCCATGCACCTCGCGGCCCGCGCCGTTGGAACTCCGGCCCTGGCCTTGCCCAGCGTTCTACCCCCGTGTCTCGCCGCGGCTTCTGCCACAGAAAACGAGGGGAATAGAGAAGGCGACGGCCGCGTGGCGGCGGCAGAGGAGGCGGGAAGTGTCGTGTTGGTTGACGACACGAGTTCGGTCGTGTCGTCCCTGGGGTATCCGGAAGGTCTCTCGGACGTGGACTCTGAAACGGGGGGGGATGCGGCTTCGGGCACTCGCGATAATGCTCCCGAGAAGGCCACCGGCGAGGAGGAGAAAGGCCGCCAAGAGTCGAAGAAGGGGGTGGCATCGAGCGATCCCGTGCCAGCAAGAACCGACGAGATGCCGGAAAAGATGACAGGCATGACCAAGAAGGCACTAGATGAAGATCATGCGCGTGGGCAGAAGGACAAGAAGGAGGCAGTGGCAGGTGATGGAGAAGGAGAAGGGAGCGCGAAAACGAGATCATCCAGCGAGGAGAAGGAAAAAGAGGGGGGGTCGGAGTATCGCATGAGTGATCAGGACGCCGCTCGGTATGACAAGGCCTTCAACAAGCTGGTCAAGGGCAAAGGGGTCACCCTGGGCGGAAAAGAGGTGGGTGGGGGGTGTATGGGTGCGTTCGCTCACTTAGTTTACGCTCTCTCTACAATCCGTGGCGAACGATGTAAGATCTAGATATCTCCATGCGCAGGAAAATACCTCGTACCAAGCAGTCCACTTACGCAAAATCTCGCGATGAAGCTGACGATCTATTCCGTGACCATCTCGGGGGGCGAGCAGGCTGCGGTGGTTCTCGCCAAGTCCGGGCTGGGGAAGAGGGATCTCGGCCGCCTGTGGGCCATGTCCGATGTCGATCGGGACGGTGCTCTCTCCAGAATGGAATTCTCGATCGCAATGCACCTTGTCTCCTGCTCCGCGAAGAAAGGTCTCCCGGTGCCGAGAGCCCTGCCGGAGAGCCTCGGTGCTCTCCTCCCGCAGCCGGAAGTGCAAAGCGAAGAAATAGGAAATGGGGTGGCCACTTCGGCGGAGGAGACGACCACCACCACAGGCAGCACAAACACCAGGGAGAAGCTTGAAACCCCGTCAGCCAGTTCTGACAGCGGAGGAACCAAAGGACGGAGGAACAAACGTGGTGCCGTTGCTGGGAAGAAAATGGCTGAAGCGGTCGAGGACAATCAAGGACGGTATACCGGCTATGACAACAAGAAAGCCGGGACCATAGCAAGAACGAAGAAGGAGGGGGGGAAAGGGGAGAAAGGGAACAAGAATGGGTCAAGAAGCGCGGCAGCGACGACCGAGAAAGAGGCCGGATCGTCAAAGAAACGAGGCTGTGGGATGGTGTCTTCTGCCGCTGTCGCAACAACAGCAGGGGAAAGCGAGACTTCCGCCGCTGCTGAAGATGGCATCACGGGCGAGACAACAAACCATGCTTCACCAGCAGAAGCCAGTGGCGGAAAGAACAAGAAGAGGAGCAAGAAGGCCACACCTGGAGACCAAGACCAAGAACACCATAAGGACGACAAACACGACACTACCACCGCCGCCGCCGCCGCCGCCGCCGCGAAACGGAGGCCTGCATCGAGGGATAAAACTTTGGTGATGGAAGAAGCTGGACGATTAAAACCATTGGAGAAACCCCAAGCGCCGAAGAAAAACAAAAAGGGAAAGTCAAGCAGCCCAGCAAGAATAGCAGACAAAGTGGGTAGCGCCGGAGAAGCGGAGGAAAGTGTTTCTCCCGAGCCGGACCAACAGAGTGGGTCAGACAACGACCATGCGAAAACTCTCGCGCTCGTCTCGGTGCCCGAGGAAAGGCGTGAGGGACGGCTGACAGCGGCCAAGGGTGGCAAGTATGTCGCCGAGGTTGCGGCAGGAAGTGTAGAAGGGGACGCTGATCGTGCAGAGACGGAGACGGAGGGAGAGGACGCCAAGACACCGACAAAGGAAAATATGCCGCTCTCCAGAGAGGAGAGGGACCAGCTTTACGGCATGTCCACATCGGAGAGGGCCGGATACGACGTAATCTTCATGCAGGTAGGTTCTTTCGCTTATTGAATTTGTTGACTGGACTGAAGATCACCATTACGGCTAGGCACAGGACAAATGGATTTGAAAAAGATTTTAATGCTGCAGCCTTCTTCAACGTTCCTTTCCGATCAAGGTGAGCAGTGGTCGGCCAGAGCGACGGTAGCACAGAGCAATCGTGAATGGTGTGGTTGTTGACTACCGTTTCTATGAGAAGGCGTCCAACTGACAAGAACTAGTTGTCGGCTATGGTGAGGATGAAGTAGGGAGTCACATGCCCGCATCGTACAGGTCGTTTACAGTAGCAACGCATTACTACGAATACCGAAGATATTTGGACCTTCCATACTAAACTTTGACCCGCTGGAACATCCGATAAACGATTGACTTGCGGATTGCTCTCTCTCTCGCTCTCTCCCTCTCTGTGCGCCCCATCCTTCTCCCCACCCAACCCCCGCCGGCAAAAACACGCGCGAACCAAAACCACCCCCGCCATGCAACTACCGCACAATCTATAAGATCGACGCGGACCACAATGGGACAATCGACGGCCGTGAGGCGGCCAATCTGCTCTGCAAGAGCGGCTTGACGCGCGCGCAGCTTTCGAAAATATGGGGCCTGGCGGACGCGAACGACAACGGGGAGCTGGACCACGACGAGTGGGCCGTGGCCTTGCACCTCTGCAGGTAAGGGGAGGAGACGCTCGGACGAGAAGAGCCGTGCGACCTGTGCTTGAGGGTTCGCGTCTCCGTAGACACATGTACCTGTGGCTGGCTGTTTGCCCCTCCCCCCCGGCGTATTGCAGCAACCTTTCGGCTGGACTGGCACCCCCCGCGATCAGTTCCCCGGGAGGCGGCGTCGCAGACGACAACTTGTCTCGAGCATGGGTGCCGAGTTCCCCTGTCTCAACCGTTCCAACTCTCATCTGCCCCGCCGCTCCAGACACTGGGGGCGGCCTCTGTCATCACCCTACATATCGAGATACCGCCCACAGGGATTTCATGTACCACTTCGTGGCCATGCTCCGGACGTTTGGAGGGATTTATTCGCTTTCGAAAGATACCCTCCAATGTTGTCCGTCGTGGATGCAGGTGTGTCGCTCACAAGCACCTTCCCTTGCCGGAGACCCTCCCTCGAAGTCTGGGAGGGCTAGGTTTAGCGGGAGGCCCCGACGACGATGAAGAACAGCCTGACGGCGGCAGAGACCAAGGCCCGAAAGGCTCCAAGGCCATACGGGAAGCGGAGCAGGTGCGCCCCTCCCTCGAGGGGTACGTGTGTGCCCCTTGGTTTTTCTTGGGTCCGTACGTTGTCCGTCTTTTTGTCTGTACGGGGATGAAGTCGAACGCTGGCGCAATTTTCGGTCCCCTGATATTTTCGGTCGTCTGCTTCGTCATCAGTCGTGCCGTGCGGACTGACTTTTGTGAATTTCATCACATGTGGCCCGAAAACGTTACGCGTCCAGTATTGTCATTCCCTGCATATATAACACCTTCAGCTTGAGGTGCTTTCTTTCGCAGATATGATAAGAGGCGACGCCCCTCTTTGTGTTACTTTGGTTGCCGTCCCTTCTTCTGACACAAACCAATGGTAACAACGGACAGGCGAGAGAAAAGGAGAAAAAAGCGATGGCGGGGCGAGCGGTCAAGCTGAGGGAGCAGACGCAGGCGTTCCGGCTTGGGAAGGTCACGGCCGCGGCGTTCTACATCACACTTGCGGGGGCGTTTGGCGCGAAGCGGCACACAATGATCCCCAAGGTACTGACGCACTATTCGCTCGCTCAGCATGGAAGGAGCCGAGCGACACAGTTGCTTCAGCACGGCCTTCGAGGCAGCGACACGTTCTGGAAGCATGGGATAGGGCCGTAAACCCGATGATATGAGACGTACTGTATGCCGATTGGCTGCATAAACGACCGAAAATGCTGAACGTTGGAAGCGATTTTGAAAGCGATTTTTGCACAGAAGTGTTGAACGTCCAGCACTAGTCCTGTATCGCGCCCCCCATCTTTCTCAAACCCGACACTCAAAGGTCGTCAGGCGGTGTGTACTAGCGTCATTCTCCTAGTAGTCAAGGTGTCCGAGTGCAAACCCTTCCACAGCAAACGGCTAGACTGAAATCATGCAAAGTGTATCCGCAACTTGTGTCTCGCCTGCATGGCTGGTCACGAGCTGGCGAACATTTACGATCCGCTCCACTCCCTCGTGCCACAATCGGCTCGGCAACCCGTCGTCTAGTCCAGTTTCCATCCCTAACGTACAGCGGTAGTTTCTTGCAACCTCTCCTCCTGTCGCCCCCACTCAGGTTGCTCGCAGTCTTCCCCTCGACAGGGCACGAGCGCTGGTTGTGGCCGCCGGTCTCGGGGAAGAGGTTTTGGAGGACAACGAAGTGGCGGAAGCCAAGCTCGCAGCGTTGCGTCGGCGGCGGGTCGATGAAGCCAACCTGCACGTAAAGGCGACGACCAGCAACGCTACCGCAAGAGACGTTAGCCTACTGGCCTGTCGCTTGGCAAACCGCCTGTCCGCCACGCTGGACGACGAGAACGGCGGTGCAAGGGGAGCGGAAGGGGTAGGCGGCGACACCTTAGGGGCGCAGACAAGCGTAGCGGCGGACATGGCTTCCGCCGGCGGGGTGGACGCCGCAGCGTTAATTTTTCGAATGTTCGGGGCTTTGGACTTAGAGCTCATGGTGGAGGCCCTCCAGTTCTCCCTGATACTGGCGCGAGCCTGCAGTGCCGTGCCAATAGATGAAGAGCCTGCATCCGAAACGTCCTCCCTGGCGTCATCATCTCACTCGCTCGTGGAGGATAGGGTGGTCGAGACCGCCCCTGAACCTTCGCCGTTGCTCCCGCTGCTGCGGCCCCTGTACGCGCCATCGGTGTGCAAGAGGGTCGCCGAGGTAGCGAAGCAGTTCTCACACAGCAGGAAGACTCAACGCCTTGTTTGTCTGCTCGTGGGTGAACTAGGCTCCACGTGTGGCGCTCCTGCGCGCCGGTGTTTCGCCGACTGCTGCGAGCCGATTGTCGTGGCGTCGGCGGGGGGGCTCGACGAGCACGCCGCCAGCGACAGCGACGGGAGTAGCGTGCTCGGTGGCACAGGCGGCGGCGGAAAAAACGGGTTATCGACCTCAATCGTAGCGTCGTCATTGCCGGGACAAGGAGTACGAGACGTGGCGTGCCAAGCGCTCAGCGTTCTCGCCCAGGAGTCAGGCCTCAGCCGCCGCTTGGTGGCGGCGGGTGCTGGAAAGGCCTCGGCCGTCGCCTTGGCCGCCGCCCCACGCGAGCACTCGGTGCAACTCTACGGGCTGGAGACGATCGCGCTCTTGGCCGAGAGCAGCTGCAGTCCCGGCATGTGGGAGAGCACTACCATCGACGCACCTTGCAGGCTAGCGGTACAGAGCGTGCAGACTTTCATCAGGGACGCCAACATTCACCGGGCGGCCAGGTTTGAAGATTGACTACATACAGCCCTTTTTTCCCCCACGTGTGAATCGATGCAATCATTCCGAAGCATTGTCAGCTAAATGGTTTCAATACCTATTCGAGTTGGGCCATGTTGTGCACAGACCGTGTTTTGGCTTAGCAAACGTGCGGAATACTGCAATTTCGTTGCGGATACTCAACACGCTCCGCGAAACCTTCCCGACCTTTGCCAACACAGTGATCTATTTCACGATCTGACTTGAACAAAGCAACCTTCACCAACCTCTTGACGCCTGGAACTACTTGCGAACTGCTCGTCAGCCGGGCAATTTTGGCTCTCCTCGTCGGCGATGCTGCCGGCGACGCTTCCCGGAGCATTGCCGCCGCAGGAGGAGCGACCGCGCTCGCTCGGGTTCTGGCGACGTCCCCGAACGTCAGGGAAGTCCAGCTCCCGGCCGTGCTCGCCATCAACGAACTCCTTGAAAGGTGCCGCAGCAGCTGTGCAGAGAGCGTACCAACCCCGGTTTCCGAGCCCGGTGAAGAGGATGACTCAGTCTCGGCGGCGGCTGCAGAGCCGGGAAAGGTGGAACGCGAGCTAATAGCGGCGGCTGGGTGCGAATTGCTCTGCAAGGTGGGTGCTCTGTCTAAGTTTCAGCTCTTTGTGTTGGATGGCCACAGAAGCTTGGACAACAAGTCGCACACAACGCCCCCTCCCCTCCGGCCCCATCGCCTGATCTAGTTCTGGCACGTAGCCATCAATGGCAGGCATGCATGAAACTGAACCCTTGCCTCTCCCCTTTCAACCTCTCCACTGATTGAAGAGCGCCAAGGCTTTCCCGAGAGACCGAGACTTGCGCCTAGGGTGTTTGAGGGCCATGGGAGCGTTATGCAGAGGAGCACGGCAAGCGGCCGTCGGTCGGCTCATCGCGGCCGGGGTCTGCGAGCAGGTGAGCGAGCACGCAGCGTACGGGGTTGGACAACTCCCGCCCATTGGTTCCCCGACAGAACACACATAAGAAGCGTACCTGTTGGGCTTCCTTCAGGCACGTCTCACCTTGCTGTGAGTGCTGAAAGGAGATACTCTAAACCCTGGCACGAATCCCAACCCCAACCACACCAAACCCTTGCGCCCCGAGGTCCAAAGCGGTCCAAAATTCCAGCGACGTAACCCGATCAAATGGCACCCCTCCCGCTTTGGCCCTTGAACACCTTCCATCCCGGAACCGTTGGGTGCTTGCCACCGTGTGCGAGACATGCAGCTTATGAAAATTTTGGGCGCTTATCCGGACGACATCGAGGTGCGGCGGGCGGGCCTCGCCTTGCTCGTGGGCGTCTCGGAACACGGTGAGGGGACAACGGAGGCGAGCGACGACGAGACAGAGGAAAACGACGACCAAGACAACCAGATCACGACGGGTGCTTTGGCGAGTCGTCTCGGCTTCGTCGGGGCCGTCGATTTCGCCGGGGTGTGGCTGCGGCAAGTGACCGCCCCGACATGGGCCTGGGTCGCCGGCCACGGTGGCGGGGGCGGCGAAGAGGACGAGCTTGCTCGCGCGTGGGATCTGTTGATGTCGTGCAAAGCAGCCTTTCTCTTGACCCGGCACAGCTCCACCAATCGAGATCGACTTACCTCGATGGGTGCGATGGAGGCGCTGAGCAGAGCGGTCGCGCTGTCAGGGCGCAAGAACAATCTCAAGGTGGGGCTAACTCCCCCGGTGGGACTGCAACAAGACTCGACGCTGTCCGTCCAAGCGGAAACGCAACTCTGGGCCGTGCAAGCCTTGACAGAGCTATCTGGAGGGCAAGATAATGAGAATCGATGTTCAGCTCTTATGCGATGCGGCGCGCTGCGCGCACTCTTAGCGGCCATGAACAAGAGCAACTCGGCCAGCCAGCTTCAACGCGCGGGATGCATGGCTCTCGGCAACGTTGCAAGTTGTTTGAAGCCGAAAGATCTCCAGGTAGTCGGCACAGAACCAGGAAAAACCAGACAGTACTCTTCCATTGGTGGGACATGGTTTGGCAGACACGCCGTTTGTCTATTATTCAAGCCACTTGTTCCGTCTTTCCACTCTAGGAATACGACGTGAGGTTCGAAAGTAGCGTTATTCTCGGGAATGCGTACGGTTCGAAAACTTTTGAACATTTCTCGCCGTGTCTCTCCATGTGCAGGCGCTCGGGAGGAACGGGGGAGCCCAAGCCGTGACGGGTGCTTTTGAAGCTTGCCCTGGAGACAAAGACGTGGCCTTGGCCGGTCTCCTGGCTGTTGCGAAGCTTTCAATGAGCTCGGAGAACCGTCGGCTGCTAGGGCAAGCAGGGGTCTGTCCCATGATTTCCAAGGAGCTCCTCGACTTCTCCCACGACGAGGCCGTCGCGGAAGAAGGGTGCCGAGCCGTCACCAGACTCGCCGCGCTCTCCGGCTTCAATCGAACGGCATTGGGACACGCCCGCGCAGCCGAGGCGACGGCAACAGCCCTGCTCAAACATCCCTCGAAGCCGAGGGTCCAGCGGTGGGGCCTAAGCGCCGCTGCCGCCCTGGTGGCGGAGACGGACCCTTCGGGCAACACGGACAGGATCACGAGCGCGGGGATCCTAGGACTCGCCGTCAAGGCCCTCATGAAGTTCCGACACAACCCAACGGTCCAGGCCGAAGGGTTGAAGACGTTCGCCAAGGTGGCCACCTCAGGGAAGGACGGCAACGACGCCGTGTGGGCGGCCGGGGTGGTTCTCACCGTTGTGAGAGCGCTCGGGCTGTATCTGAACGACGCGAACGTCCAGCACTGGGGGGTGGCAACCATGCGCGCCCTCACGGGGAGCGACGACCGGTGCGATGTTTGGCGGGGAGCCGGGGCGCCAGAAGCCGTCGTGCGGACGCTGGTCGCGTTCGGCCGGGATGGGACCGGCCGCCACGCTAGGCACGACGAAGAAGGGCTGGGCAGGGCTAGCGAGACGAGGCCCTGCACGGCCGAGGAGTCGCTGTGTGTGCAGTTCCAGGCCTGCGCCACTGCTTTCAACTTGGCCATGTCATCGCCAGACGCCAGAAGGCGGATCGTCCGGGAGGGCGCGGGCGAAGCCCTCGCGGGCATGATGAAGAGTAACTCTTCGAACCAGGCTGCTCTGCGGGGGGCGCTGGCGACCCTTGCCGCTCTTTCCGCGTCTGGGGTAGAGAACCGCAAGCGTCTGCACAGGCAAGCAAGGAGCCCGCTTCCTGTAGCGGGTTCATTCACCTAGCCCCCGGGCCTCCCACGTGGGAAAAACGCACTTTCATTAATAGTCAATTGTCAAGCTAGGAAACTAGTTGTTGGTTAACAGGTGCCAGAGAAAATTAAGGCCATCGAGGTCGACTTCTAAATTTCGCGAAAGGCGTGTGTGCCATGTACATTTTTTTTTGTGACGTGACAACCAATATACGGTTCGTCGAAAAAAGAGAGATTACACTACCAAGCCGTTGCAATCTATTGAGGTTAACCACCAAATGTGTGCCACTTCTTGTGACATCGCGGCCGAAGATACAAAGGTGGCGTCCCAAAGGCAGTAGCCTCGGCGCTGGAGTCGTTCCCCGAAGATCGGCGGGTGCGATGTGAGGGAGCCCTCACCGTCCAGAACCTAAGCCTAACACTGGGAGGAGCGAGAGCGATGACGAAGGCTGGCGTCGCGCCGGTGATCATCCGACTGCTACGAACGACGTTGGAAGAGTCGTCTTTCCCGACGACCAGCGAGAGAGAGGGTGAGAGGGAGGAAGGACCCACCCTCAATGGCGCAATAGCGAACGGACATTCAGGCGGCAAGCAGGCCGACCGCGACGGTAAGAAAAGAGCCTCAGGACCAATTTGTTTTCTACAGGGCTACTCGTCATCATCCCGCTCGAGACTGAACGGGGTTCCTGCTCTTGCCCACCACGCAGTTGGTGTTGCGTGTTACGCAATCCTGAAAAATTGACACTGTTGAGCATTGGGATCAACCATAGGGAATGGATACGAATGAAGTAATTAGGCAAACACTCTTTGATGCCGCAAACTGTATGATGCACTCCTACCGCTTGCATGCACATGACAAACAGCTCTAAGCAAAAACCTTAACTTCAGCATCGCCAACCTACGATCTAACTTTTTGCAACAACACGTGCACCAAAATGCAGTTATTGTGTACCTCTTGAACGGCCTGGCCAACATGGCGGCCGCCGACAAGAGCCTCAGTGATTTCATCGGGCGGCACGGAGCCTGCGAAGCGGTTGTTTTCGCCCTGGAGCACCACCCCAGAGACCTCCAGATGCAGGTCAGCAAGAGCTGGAGAAATCAGAGTTAATAACGCGATGAATCATGAACGAAACACTGGTAACTCGGAATCTTGTGATACACAACGGCAGCAGCCCTCCCGAAAGAAATCTCGTTGACAGTCGCCCCCATACTGCCAACATCGCCGGTGTAGGCCTCCCACTCAGTTGAATTGTCACTCGTGTCATTCCCATTGTCGACGGCACATCCCCCCACGCTGCCCCAGGCTAGCGGGGTCAAGGCCGTGCGAGCCCTCGCCCTCGGCGGCTGCCGAAACGTCCAAGATTTGGCCCGCTTGCGAGGCCCCTCGGCGATAGCTCGAGCCCAGGGACTTTTCTTGCGCGACCGTGAAATACAGCTCGCTGTGGGGGCAGCTATGGAAGCGTTGTGTCGGGGAGGCAACCGGGCCAACCGGGAGGCTCTTGTCGGCGCCGGGACCATCGTCCTGCTAGAAAGTGCCCTATCCCAGTTCGCCAGCGACGCGGAAGTTGTATCTCAGAGCTTCCGCGCTCTCGTTGAGATTGTTCTGGCCGGCTCCGGGCCAAAGGCAGTGATGGGTGCAGAGGGCGAGGACAATCAACGGTGTTCCAGAAGCGTTGCCGGCGTCGAGGAGGAACCGCCAGTGAAACGGTCGTTTTCTCTACCCCAGCTTACACTAACCGAGGGTAAAGCAGCAATCAAGGGTCCTCTACAACCGGGCGAAGATGCAGGTGGTACCGTTGGTGGCGTGGCTGTGGGTGAGGTATCTTGTGCCGTGGGGATGGTACTCGCCGTCCTCGAGAGGAACCCCTGCCGTGAGGTGTGCCTTGAGGCGTTCTCTGCCCTTGGCCGCTTGCTCGTTAACCTCGGGGCGACGGACTCGGAGAGTGTGAGTGTCGGATCGAACGACGTCCGCGACCAAACCTACCAGAACAGAGTTGCCACTACAGATGATACCTCAGCTTGTCACAAGGTTCCTCACAATGGAATGAAGGGAGGAGTGAACGCTGCGGGAGGGTTGCTTCAGTTGGCGAAGGTTCGACATGCAGTGAAGCGGGCGCTCAAGATTAACCGTTGTGACGATGTTGATCTAGCGTTAAGAGGTGGTCAAATTATCACGTTGACTACCGTTGCGAGAGGTCGGGCCCTTGCACAATAGATGAGGTAGAGCATGTAGCAGCAATAGAATTTATTAACCACTGGGTGTCCCGGAACCATATCAGAACCAAATATCCCGCCTTTGAGAATATGGGTCAGCTTGGGGGGGAGAAGTATTGCTGGAAATCCCTGGAGTTTCACCACCAGCGAGACAAAAGATTGTGGTTCTGCGTTTAAGGCTTGTAAACCACCCCAATTTTCGGCCGGAATGATGCCGGATTGTTCACTCGGAATTTTGATAGGATGCTTTGAGTTCGTCATCAGGGCTGTTATTCCAATCGTTCGCGTACCACTATCTGGGTGTTATCATCATGCGTTTGGCGTGCTCATTTGAACTCTTGGGCAATTGCAATCGAGGCGCCTCGAATCACAGAGGACGAACTGGACTCGTTTTCTCCGCAGAAACGAACAGAACACGCGTCGATCGAGCCTAGTGTACTGGGTACTATTTGTTCTTGTAATATTCTTGTTGGTCGTCTCTTGCTGTTGTCTTCACATTGGAAACAGCTCCGATTTCTGCCCAGTACCGTCTCTAAGACCCGCTCTGGTCTGACTGACGTCAACGCCTTGCATGGGCACAATTTAACGGGTTCTTGCCGATCGATATTGATTTTGACTGGCGTTGAAACAACCAAGGGCACCAGGAACACACGAGATACAAAAGCCAGGTGGAAAGCTTGCGCAACAATAAATCCCATCGTTGTCGCACGGAGGAGGCGTTTCTCTCCTACAGCAGTACCCCCTGACACCACTAGCAGCCTTGGACGTATCCAAATATAGCAGAGATTCTATGTTCATCGTAGCCTAATTATCATACGGACCCATAGCCGCGATTGTGGAATACCGAGGATGGACCGCACCATCAGCCTACAACGCAATTAGACCAAGAAAAAAAATGGCTGTGAAACACCGCTATTCCTGTGTTGGGATCCTGACCCAAGTCTAGTCAGCCGAACGTTTCTATTTTGAAGTTCGCTTGAGGTGTTTAGGTTAAGGTGATCCGAAGAGGTAGCTTAGAGAGCAGAAGAAGCGACCTGGTGAAGTCTGGTGAAGCATGATCGATGTGTGTTCTGCGGCGCGAAAAGAAACGATGATGCCGAACAGGAACTTGCAGCGGCCCAAAACCCTGTCCAGGAAAAAAAAAACAACGCAACCATTAGTCTCCCTCCTCTCGCACACAACCCCGCGGGAGGGCAGATCACCGAGCGACTTCCACCCAGCCGCGACATTTAGTTAGAGGGGACCTGGCGTGTCGATCTTCTCGCCTCCTCGAAGTGAAATGCGCGCCTTCCGAAATCGTGGACAAGCCCACCAATCGGAGGCGCCAGCTTTTGCCGTACCGTCAGGTGTGTTTCGCTTCTGCTCTTGTATGCATTTTTCTTTCAACACAAACCCACACCTTCCTGCGCAACATCACCCCTTCCTGCCATCCGCGGCGAGTCAGTTGTGTTGTACTCGTGCCGTTTGTGCTAAGCCCCCCCTGTCGTGTGCCATTATTATTTAGCTTGCAGCACGGAATACCCCGCCGCAGTCTTTTCGGGCGGGAGCTTAACTTGTCGCGCTTTCAGAATCCCAGTACCATTACATGTAGCGTTCCTGTGACCAGTCCTCTAGCCGGGCTTATCATACGTAGAAGAAGCGATGCTGGTTGTTCGGGACTCATGCCGACGTCGCCCCTGGTATCTCGACGAACCTCAATAACACGTTAATGCGGTACCCTCGCAGCCTATGTAGACTATGTGTGGCGACCAGGACCAGGGGTTCGAATATTCCCGGAGCTTTCCTTGCAACGGGAGTTTTCTCTCGCTTCCGTTCCTGCACACAAGCGCTACTCTGTACAGCAGCAGTTCGTGTGCACACGATTTACAGAAGAGAGTGCTGCAATCTTCTCGCGTTAAAAATTGAAGGAAGCACCGCAGGAGGGGTGGAGAGGAGGCGTCAGGGGGAGGAACCCTTCTGTGTGACCACGATTGGAGCTCCTATGATCCACACGGCAGAATGCTCTGAGTGCTGATTTTTTCAAGCTGGGCCAGCCAAGAAGCTCACTTTTCGTTCTTTCGCGTCTCATGCTGCCGTTTCCACATTTAGGCTTGGAACTACATTTAGGCTTGGAATTTTGTGGCTAATCTTAGAAGACAGTAGGGGAACGCCGGTGCCAGATTTTTTTGGAATCTGAGTTGATTTAGGTATTAAATGCTCAAATGGCGGCGTAGTGGGGGATACTTTCAGCTGAAATCAGTATTACTTGAAGTGTTTTTTACAGATTGAGCTGAAATTTGGTGTGCACCTATCTGGGACCATTGCGAAAAAAGTGATGGTAGTTGCAAGGCTCACATCATCTTCCATCTAAAGTTATTGCCTCATAAAAAATCCTATACAACACTCAAGATATTGCGGGAAAGTGAGGATATCGCGATGTTCCACACCGGTTTTGACGATTAGAACCTGAAATTTTGATATGATGTTGTTGGCAATGGTCTCAAAAATGCCCCCGATTTGGATCCGGTGTTTTTGAGACCATTTCCAACCACATATCAAAATCTCAGGTTCTAGTGCGTAAAAATCGTCGTGGAAATCGCTTCTAACCATTTCCAAAAACAGTCTTGTTGCTGATTTAACCGTCCGAGTACGTACGCAGTCCCTCCGCAAAAATAAAATATCGCAGATTTTTCTTGTCGGTAATTAGCCAAGCCTCCAAAGAAATCGGAGATTGCCGAGTTTCCTTGCCAGACAAAGGGTTCCTTGGCTTCAGCATGAAAAGTGTCCCCAAAACACGTGGGGACACTTTTTCATACTGAAGCCAAGCCAATAAATTTTTCCAGCACCGGGCTGTACAGTTTTACCACCTAGAGGACACGCGGCTTGGGGGATTGTGTACAACAAGTCAGACGGCGAGGAGAGGCATCACACAGCATATCACACAACGTGCCATCTTACCCAAGCATGACAGACCAAGGGTGCGTTTCACACAGCGGATCACTCAGCGGAGCCTAGGGCGACTACGGTGCGTTGCGCAGACGTTTGAGTGTTGTTTGTCCCCACTTGGCGTCCAGTATTGAGAGGGTTAATGTGATGACAATTTTTATCAAACAATGGTGTGTACACCACAGACAGCCGGGGTGCCATCTCGTTCACAGCATCAACACCTTGCTGTAGAGGTATGCACGCGTGGTGCAGTGTGGGAAACCCGTGGAGAAGAGCTCACTTGTTATTTCTCGTGTGGAACAGCAGCAGCAGTACCTGTTGCGTTGGAGATCGGTAGGAACTGAAGCGAGTGGGGCAAGGATCCTCTGCTCAAGCAGGGGCTACTATGATCCGGTCCCATGTTTTATCCTTCCGCGGGGAGTACATCTTCGCGCGCCTTCTAGAAGGAGTCATTCTCTTCTATTCTCCGCCTACATACAAGATACATGTATCTAAATCCTATGACATTGCGGATGATGAGCATGACTTTCGCCCCTCGCTGTTGTCGCAGCCGAAGCCTTTGTGACAACCACACGGTGCTGACCCAACTGAGCTAAAAGGGGTCAAACTTTTGGAGGGGTTGGGAAACAAGCCGGGTCCGAGTTTTGGGAAGGATCACCAACAGAAGTTCTGATAAAAATGACGTTTCATTTAGTGCATGTTTTTTGTCCACACGTGATTATTCCTTGCAGGAAAGCACACCCGAGGGTGTTTTTTGCTAGAAATTTCGCCGCATTACGATCACGGAGCCCCCATTTCGCACCTCGTGGTACTGACGTGCACGGCTCGACTTGCACTCACACGAGCAGCCGCACACAGCTGGTAAACACACAACCACAGACGATACGGAGGTGGAGGAGGTAGACAACCCTGCTGGAAACAACCCTGCTGGAAACGGCGTGGCTCAGACGGTGCCAGCAAAGTCTTCGCCGGCGACTCCACGCGCGATCAAGTTGTTTTTGTGGAAACAACCCGCCACCCAGCCGAGCAATGAGCCTCCATCAGCACCTGCCGCCGGAAGTCCTGCCAAAAGGCCCGCAAAACAGGCTCTGCTGAGGTCCGCACAACAGTGTCGCACATCGGCAGCACTCCGTTTTTATCACACATCCTCTTGGAAGAATGTGGGAGCGGTAGTTTGTTTGCAAATTTGCTATCACAACCTTTTTCTTTTATCACAACGAACCCCTGGTCGCGAGCTTCGTCCACGTGCACTTTATCACGACGGTGACACAAGTTAGCGCACACCCCTTGTAGGATAGCACCTCCGGTGATACGTTTGCTGAACTCCAATCATCTTATCACCGCCGTGCGGTGTGCTATCTTGTGTCACTTACGGTACCGGCCGGACTTGTCCGAGGATAAACGTTTTTTGAGTCAGAGCAGTAAAATGAAAACGAGAGACTGGCATGCCTGCTGGACAGAGGTAGCACGCGGAAATGCTGAGATTAGCTGCCGAAAGTTTCTTGTTTTCGTTGATTCTTACGTGTTGACGAACGCCTCCAACTCGCTTCCAAACATGGCAGCCCGCACCATATTTGAAAACTTCCTTCTTACTAGTGTAGGATGCGGGGGTCTGCCTACTAGTGTAAGGCTTCAACCCATACACCATTTGGCTTATTTCGTAGGGTTGAGAAGATAGAGAAACGTAACACGTCTAACTATTGTAGAAAGCCTGAAGAACATTTTCATAGTTTTTTCGGCCCTTCGCGTTGCTCTTTCTCTGTCTCTCTCTGCTGCCTCCATCTGCCGTCCACAATGAACGTCAGGGCACAACACCGGTACCAATACCAGCAACATTGACAACGGAGGCAGCACGCGGTGCTTGGAAGCCATCGCCGTTGTGCTTTATCAATCATCGCCGAAGGGAGGGATCAGAGAACCCCCGTTCATCTCATCTACGCTGCAGCTGCAATTGGCGTGCTTGGAACTATGCGGGGTGTGTCGAAGCCTGCCATCCCTGCACATAAAGGTGCCGGAAACACTGCCCGCAAGCTTGTGGGTTGCTCCGACTTCCTCCGACGACGCCGGCGATCACGACAACGGCGTTCAGTGGCAGGATCTATTTTCCACTCTCCGTTCCTTGCGCCGATGGTATCCCCGCGGGGACTCACGAGGGGGGGACGGCGTGACCCTGAACCGCGTCCCGCCCCTTCTCCCATTCAGCGTAACATGTGGGCTTTCGAGCTTGCCTCGCTCTAGTAGTAGTCGCACGGCCGACCTGTGGACTGGCGTGGAGCGACTGCGGCTGGAATTTTCTCTCTCGGAGACGAGCAGTTGGAAGGACTCGTCTGTGGTGATGCTGCCGAGAAGACTCAAGCAGCTTCTGTTTGTCTCGAGCTCCTTCGTTCCGAATTTTCAACTTCCGGTGGCGGTGTTGTCGTCACCGCCGCCGCTCCTTCTCAAGCTA